GGAACATGTAACCAAAATGTCTCTCAATTTTCTTCTTTTACTTTTTAACCATTTGAATTGTAATGAGAAAAGCTAATTTGATTCCCAACGACCTCTCGCTCTCTTCTCAATAAATAATAACAAGAACCAACCCAAAACCCAAATTGAAAAAAGACAAAATACATCACACGCTTTGTTTTTCCTGTGGATACTCTGTTCTTGTTGTCTAAGGAAACAATGTTGTGGCAAACCTTTTACTCTCTTCTCTTACTATCTCTACTTTTCAGGTGTACGGGCGATGAATCTTTGCCTGAAGTAACCGATTATGAAGAAGCTCCAATGGATAAAAGAGAACGAGAAGCTTTATACTCTGCGATCCAAGGATTTGTTGGTGATTCTTGGAATGGATCTGATCTTTATCCTGATCCTTGTGGTTGGACTCCAATTCAGGTTTTTCTTGTCAAATCTCTGTTTCATTAAACCTTGTATTTTTTTTTCCCCTTGTGCAGCCATGTTATGTTTATGTAGGGTCAACTCCTTAATATTGTCAGTGCTGAAACATAGACAGATAGACTCATGAAGATTGTGAAGAGCTTGAGCTTATGATGTAGAATCTTTTGATCTTTAGACGCTGTTGAATCAAACTCAAATTCTAAAATGCTTTTGAAATTATGTGTAAAGGTTCTTTGTTTTCTAGCTGTCTCAATAATTCTTCAAAATGTTTTGTCCGCTTTGAAAATTTTCCATAATCGGAAAGTGAAGTTTAAAGCTTCAAAGCATCAAGTGAATCCTATTTTCATATAACATCTGTTGGTTTGGGTTTCTTAAAATGCTTCAATTATTGGCCCCACCAATCATTCCTTTATATCGTAGGTAAGTGCTGTAAGAAAAACAAACCAAAATTTGAAGTATAAAAACCTTTGTTTTGTTTTGTTTTGGTTTCAGGGTGTTTCCTGTGATATCTACAATGACTTGTGGTATGTCACGGATTTGAGTTTAGGGCTTGTTCATGAAAACTCGCTTGCTTGCTCTTCAAGTCTTGAGATAAGGCCACAGTTATTTGAGCTGAAGCACTTAAGATCTCTCTCCTTCTTCAACTGCTTTATCTCTCCCATAGTGATAGAAAAAGAGGAATGGGTAAACTTTGCTTCTAAGTTAGAATCGCTCGAGTTCAGATCCAATCCTGGTCTCATTGGGAAACTTCCTGAAACAATTGGAAATCTCACAAAGCTGAAGTCTTTAGTGGTTCTTGAAAATGGGTTTAATGGAGAATTACCGACGAGTATATGCAACGTAAAGAGCCTGAAGCGGATGGTTTTGGCAGGGAACTTGTTCACGGGAATGATCCCAAATTGTTTCAAAGGCTTAAAAAAGCTTTTGATCTTGGATTTGAGCTGGAACTCTCTCTCAGGGACATTGCCTTCATCTGTTGGAGATTTGGTTTCATTGCTCAAGCTTGACCTAAGCAATAACCTAGTAGAAGGGAATCTACCTCAAGAACTTGGATCGTTGAAGAATTTGACACTTTTGGATCTGAGGAACAACAGATTATCAGGTGGATTGTCCAATAACATTGAAAAGATTCAATCTTTAACGGAATTGGTGTTATCAGGCAATCCAATCAGTGAGGATATCATGGGAATAAAGTGGGAGAAGATGGGCAATTTGGTCATTTTGGATCTATCTAGCATGGGTTTGAGAGGTGAGATCCCCATTGGTTTAACCAAGCTGAAAAGGTTGAGGTTTCTTGGTCTGAACAACAACAAACTAACCGGTTTGGTTCCATCGGAACAGCTTGAAGCATTGCCCTGTCTTGGTTCATTATACATCAATGGAAACAACCTAACAGGTGAGCTTGGATTCTCTAGAAAGTTTTATGAGAAGATTGGAAGAAGATTTAAAGCTTCCAAGAATCCAAATCTTTGTCAACCATTTGAGATGGTAATGTCAGAATCTCATAAGCATTTACTTCCTCTCGGAGTGAAGCCATGCACTTAGAAGAGAAAGAAAAAGACATCAAGCTATCTATGAGTTGAAATCATCATCAATGGGTGTTTTTGAGCTCATCAAGCTATCTATCTAGCTATTACATTTTAGATTTTTGGTAAATATGTGAGAATGTTATGTAGTCTTATCTTCTTTTTTCAATCAAATTATGTAGTCTTTATGTCTTATCTAAGTGCTATTTATGTGGACGATCAAAAAAGGAAATGTCTTAGTGAGGCAATTTTATGGTTAACTTGAAAAAATATAACTGGCCCATGCAGGTTTCGAACCTGCGACCTTCGCGTTATTAGCACGACGCTCTAACCAACTGAGCTAATGGGCCATTTTGTTATATTACTTTCTTTTACGTTTAATATTATTTAGTACTGGAGAGGATGAATTGTCTTCGACTTGTTAGTTATGAGGCACAAACAACACACACAAAAAAAAAAAACAAATACAATTCTAAGGAGTAAAGTACGAGCAACATGCCAATATATTAAACTTAGACTTGTCCAAGTACTTTCTAGCTCTCTCCTTGTCTAATGGACAAGACGACCACATATATTGTATAAAATATATATAATTTGAGGGTTGAGATAAGATAACCATATGCTGTGTTATGAGAAAGAAGAACACAATATGGGAAGGGCCGAAGGGCGCCTTGAAAGAAGCTCAAAATGTTCTAGAAATTGTGGACAAAAACAAAAGAAACAACTAAATAACAACGAAATTAATAAGTTGGTTGGCCGGACGAACAGTGTCCTGAATAGTTTCCTTGCAAAGAGATAATGTCAACAACTAAAAAGTCACAGAAACTTCTCAAACGTTACGAAGAGTCCAAAGACAAACACATTATAAATCAAATCTATTGAATTGTTGTTTTGAGACATCGTAGCGTAGGCCATCCTTGTTCATTTTTTTGGTACACCGAATTTGTTTTCAACCCAACAATCTGGATCGGGGCTTGTAGTATTCAAAATCTCTGTCGAAGAATAAGATTAAGTACTAATATATGATACTAATTGATTTTAGTTGAAAACACATTACATCAAGTAATTATCGATGTCCTTGATTAGAGAAAGAGGAGGATAAACGTTCTGCCTCGTCTTGATTTCGTTTCAGGTGGAATTGTGTTTTCCTTTTATTGGGAAAATGTTTCAAATTTTGTTTGTGAATGTGACTAGATCGGAAAGATGCGAAATTTTCCAAATTTGTATTTTGAGATAGAACTATTAAAATGAAGTATCAGCTATCACATGCTAATAAATAATAATAACACACCATAAATAAGTATAACAAACACCATAACTAGAAATAAAACTAAAAACATACTATATTATTTTAACCGTTTTTGGATATTACTCGCAACATGATCTTTTTTGTTTTTATCTGTCTTGTCCTATCTCATATCAATAATATATTTAATCAAGGAACAAATGAAATAATATTTGTAATTTATCGTATTTTCACGTGTGTTAATTTTTGTTTTCTCACCCTAAGCCAATCGAGAACGATTGAATGAAGCCAATTAAGCAGGGAATGTTTAGCTTAATAAGGTATTACGAAATAAAATGAGAAGTAGGTTCAAAAGGAAATAAGTGTCCAGAAAGACAAAGAAGTACAAAATGAAAACAATAAGGTCGAAAGGGTGAGTGGCTCAATAATTACGACTTTATTTCTAAGTAGCCCGAGAAGAAGAAGTGAAAGAGACAAGAGAGAAGAAACCGGTGGTGATGGTCACGACGGCGACGATGGTAGGACCGCCGCACGTGGCCTGCCTTCCCCATGTCTACATTTTGACCATTCAACGTACTCCTTTCTTTTAATTATTGGATCCTTTAGTAGTACATTTGTAAAGGACTATAAGCTTCATGAATTTTGATTATAAAAAAATTCGAATATTATCACTCAGTCTCTTCCTCTTAATATGCAAATTGATGTCAGGATGAGCCTAATTCGGTTCAGCTCATGAAAGTTTATGACTCGGTCTTAAAACCATACTTTTAGAAATGTCTGAAACCGGTTTAATCCGATCCAATATTGAGATTTGATAGTGTTGCTCGCATATAGTCCGAGTCTTTAACATAATTTATTTTTGTTTCAAGATCCTAATTAAATTGGCTGCGGCTCAACTCTTATAGTGTTGATCAGATTAGTCTGCGGGGTTTTCCATATGTAGTGAAAAATGGGAATTATTCCATATTACAAATGAAGTTTTATTTTATTTTCTACTAACTACTATTATTATTATTCTAAACCAGTATGTCCCTTTTTCTTACGCAAACCATTGTGTCCTTAAACCCGCTGATTACGTAGTAGATCAAATTTTATTTTTCTAATAGCATACAATTAGACGTGACAGGTCTTCCATCATAATTATTTTAGCACCTAATGATAACGTCAGATAATTAAGAGGGAGGGGCCCAAACAAACTATTGAAATATTGTGTCCCTTGGTGTATATATATAGTCGTCCAAATTAAATAACTACATTTCTCTCATTACAAAGACAGTTTGAGTAATTTAATTATACTTATAAGTTATAACTTATGGAGTACTGTAATAATTTAACACAAATCATGAAAGTTTGATACAAATCATAGATCATGTTAAAAATTGTGATAGTTCCCCCAATAACTAAACTAAAAGTGTAGCTTATGTTGTGTCGTAATCAATTAGATTAGTTTAACCCATCCCCATGCGTCGGGCAGCAATGATCAACAATTAACTAAAGCAACTTTAATTGTGATTTTTCTTTATAATAAAAAAAAATGTCATTGCCGCCTTTGAATCATGCATCATAGAAAGAGAGTTGTTGGTTTGACTAAAATCAGGGATTTGGTTCTAGACAACTTGTTTATGAGATAATACTTGTTTAATAGTGCCTGATACCCTTAATTATTATTATTAATTGTCATAATTCATCCCGGAAAAACATATGATTAAACTGCATGATATTCTTAGGGAAGCATATAATGAAATTGAAATTTCGTAACCTTAATTAATCTATAAGGATGAGATAAACTATAGAGATACGGGAACGACCACCTTTTTACATTAACCGTAAAATCGTTTCTTTTTCGAATGTCATAGAACAAAGCCAAAAGCCATTACAAAATTTTGTCAACTCTTTCTATTATGCCGTCAATATTTACAGTATTGCCCTTGCTCTCCACTAAGTAATCGAAATTTCCACATTTGTTCCCAAGAACAAGAATCTGCTAGTCAGTAGAGAGGTCTAATCGAAACAGATTCCTCCACAATCTGGCATCAAACTCGGATGCGAACCGACCCGGTTAAGCTCCAAATATCAAGACGCGTCTCTCTCCAACCCACAAACCGCTTTTATACATAACGACGATCTTGATTATCATGATTGAGAATGAATCTGCAGAGAAATCAATCGTTCCAACAAAGAAGCATGACAACACATCTACGAATGATGTAAAGCTTAGCTCTTTGTTCTTTAAGTACAGCTCCAAGTCCTCTGCTCGACACCCTTCTCTTTGAACCTCCCATGCTTTGACTTGATCCCATCTTCATCTTTGATATAGAGATCGATCCAAAAGACTGGCAAAAACGGAAAACAAATAAGGAGTTTCTTTTCTTAGGGTTTTTGAGATATGTATGAGAGAATTAATGTAAATGTTGAGGTTACAAAAGAAAGGAGTCTTTTTATAGAAGAATAGAAAGATAGGAATGAGACCCCACACAATTCTCTATCAGTACCCACTTGTGTGTTTTTGTGTTATTGCAATTTAATATCGTTGAATCTGAATGGTTTATATGGTCACAATTTCACAAAACCCCCAAAACATATATGCCCTATTTGTCCCCGTTGTTGGTATGTATCAAGGCACACATGCATGCCACGTGGCTGCAATTTATTTTATTTTTGGTTAATTATTAGCAGATTTTTCAAACAGACGAAAATGGTTCGTCTCTCCTTCCACATATATATATATATATATATATATGTGCTGTTATGCTGTATATATTGCTTCTAGATAATTTGTTTTTTCTTTGCTTCTAGATTTTAACGTGGTAATTTTCATACCAACCGAGTTTAAAGCGATTCAACGAGGTTTAATCTACACACGCTCGCAACAAACTTGAGGTTATATATATTATTTATATATACGGAAAATTTGTCGCTAATTTGTTTAAAAGAAGCTACATATACTTCATCAGTGCATGACACAGGAATATATCTGTCGTAATAAAATACAGTTTTTCAGTGACGTCCTATACTTATCTATCTTTGAATATATTAAGGCCATTTTTTGGGGAAAAGGAAAACGAAAAAATCAAGGCTATTTCTGCAGATACATGATATCATATGAAGTGGCCGAACATTGTCTTTTTCTAGTAATAGCATTTTAATTAGAAACAAATAAATGAGAAGACACATTTGGTTTTGCATCTACCATATTTCTTGTGTTGTTATTTTTGAACTTAAAGAAATTCCATGCGATTTTCAACATGATAAATAATTGAAATTCAAAAATTCTTGTAATAATTTCGTTTCAACTTTTCCAAACTATCGGTAGTATTTTTTTCATAACAGAAGCTTCTAAAACGTAAGATAGCCATTTCAGCGTGACTGGAATAGTAAAAGATTGTATCCTTAATTCTTATGACATATAAGAAGGTGAGTAATTCAAACTCGGATTTTTTCGCGCAAAGATCATTGATGTACTGAAAATAAAATCTTTGCATCTGATTGTTTTCGTGTGGGTGTCGTATATCAGAAATCAATAATAGTCTCTGAAATGCAGACTCTCAAAATCAGAAAAAAAAAAAATCATAATAATATTGCCGTGGATTGATCACATCTCTCTCGTATGGTATAACATGAATATCCAAAATATCAGTGAGTGAAAGTGAAAGATAATATATTAATTAGCTGTGACCACAGTCAAATTTTGTGGATGATATAAATAGTTGGGTTTGTCAGAATACTTTTATTATCATTTGATGTTTTTAAGTGTTGGATCCACGTCAGTGTACCAATCTATTAGACCACGCACAATATGAAATTCTGTGGTGTGCTGTGATGTAATGTAATGATATTTTTGAGAAAAACATGCTTTCTAATTTCTTTTACTTGCTAAATTATATATAGGATTTATATTTTTATTTAATTTACAAACAACTTCATTTCCCATTCTGGAATTGGACTCTTTTTTTTTTTGAACCTTAATTGGACTTATTTTTCATTATCGTGTGCATTGAACTGAGAAAACAGTTAGTTTTATCGTATATATCAATCAAACATCATTAATTTTTCTAATAGTATGCACGTACGTATGACTATATATGGTCTATTGGAATTTGTTAGCTTCTAGAAATACGTTGGTTATGTAATTGCATTTCAGTGATGTCAACAGAAAATGGTTATACATTTCAGCTTGGGTACATGTTATCAAAACAAACTATCCAACATTAACGAGTTATACTTCAAAATATTGTCTTTTTCATTATTTGACTCTGGTAAAGTATCCATGACGTGGCACGCATGTTGAGATTCGTTTAGTGCGAATGTATCATCATTAGTATTAATTAATTAAAGAATGCGTTAGCCATTAGGTGAAGATTACTATAATAACTTCTACTCCCTCTGTTCAGAATTATTTGATGTTTAAGGTTTTTGCACACAGTTTAAGGATTTATTTAATTTTTATTTTTTCTATACTAAAAATATTATTTATAATTCATTTAAATATCATTCAGCCAATAATAAGATAATCTGCAGAATATAAAAGGTCAAAAACTATAAAAATTCATTAAATTTTGCATTGAAAAGTGAGAACATCAAATAATTCTGAACAAAAAAAACCTTCTAAAACATCAAATAATTCTGAACAGAGGGAGTAATTAATTGATTTACGGTTTGGCGCACGAATTATGATTATATGATACTAGGTAATTAGACCGCAACTTGTGCGGACACAAAAGTTTCATAAAATAATTACATCATTAAATTATTAACTTTGTTAAAAGAAAATCTTCTACAAATATAAAAACAATGTTAGACATTCGACCGTTACCATTTACTCGTATATTTATAATTACAGAAGGTTTTTTCTGACTATTTTTTTTATCTTTTCTTCAACAGAATTCTCTCTATTTTTTTGTAAATGTGTGTCATTCTAATCGGTTATTTGACGCGTTTTTCTTCTTCTTCTTAAACATATTTGGTTTATGTTTCTTCTTCTACTTAATCGTCTTTGACTTTGACTTATTTTTTATCATTTTTTGTCTTTTTTAACAATTATTCTTCTTCTTTTTTTGGTATATGATTGTCTTCGTCTTCCGATTTTTCTTTTTATCGTTTTTCGTCTTCTCTAACTTTTTATTCTTTTGTTTCTTCTCCATCTTATCTTCAATCTCAACTTCTTCCGCTTCGTCTCTTTCTTCTTATTTTTTTAGTTTTGTTTATCGTCTTCCTCATATTTTTCTTTTCTCATTTTCATCATATTCAGTTTATTCTTATTATTCATCACATTCGTCATCTTTAACTCCTTTTACATATTTTTTTAGTTTTTATTCATCATCTCCAAATCCTTAACTTCCTCCTTCTTCTTCTTTGATGTCTTGGTCTAATCTGCATTTTTATTCTTCTTACAGTCTTTATTTTCTTTGTCTTTGTCATATCTTTTTTGTCTTTTCTGACTGTTTTTATCTTATTTTTTTCTTTTTGTTATCTTATCATTCTTCTTTTCATCATCTTGTGCGGGCACAAGAGTTTCATAAAATAATTACATCATTAAATTATTAATTTTGTTAAAAAAAAATCTTCCACAATAAAAACAATGTTAGACATTCAACCGTTACTATTTACTCGTATATTTATAGTTTAGAGATGGAAAAATTTAAGGTTTTTTTTGTGGTACTCTTAAATTTTCGCTTTTTGGGTGTTTTTTTTAAATTAAAACAATAATTGAGATGTATAAAAAACTATGATCGTTTTTTTTTTTTTAAAGTAGATTAAAGTTATAGTTTAGGGATGGAAAAGTTTAGGGTTTTTTTGTGATACTCTTAAATTTTCGCTTTTTGGGTGTTTTTTTAAAATTCAAACAATAATTGAGATGTATAGAAAACTATGGTCGTTTTTTAAAAAAAAAGTAGATTAATAAAGTAATAATTTTTTTTAATTAAAACAATGATTGAGGTGTATAGAAAATAATTTTCGTTTTTTAAAAATATATTAAGAAAATAATAGAAAATAATAGACCTTTTTTAAAAATATATATATTAAGAAACTAATATTTTTTTAATTAAAAATGGTAGATTTAAAAAAATTATAGTCGATTTTTTTATTTGAAAACAGATTTAATTTAAAGATAAGATTATATTTTAACTAAGATTATTAAATTTTAACTAAATTTAATATAAACTAATAATAACTAAACTTAATTTGAACCAAGTTAAAAGTTAATATAAACTTCTTAATGAGGGATATGATGATAATTAACCACCTCCAGAATCAATGAGAGAGCTGGAAATCAAAAATTTATTTCGTTTATAATATATATGATATCAAACAGAAGGATAGAAGGCATTTTTCAAGTATATTAAATAGATAATCACAAACTTTAAGATAGTAAAACAAAACCTGTGTATAGTATGGGCCTTCATAGATAAAACAAAAGCACTTACTTATTAGGTTTCTTTCATTACCTTTGAAATTAAAATCCGACCCAATGTTGTAATAGCTTATCATTGGCTCAGATACATTTAGCTGAAAAATGTTATACGACGGTTCTTTACTTCTTTTCATCATACATAAATCAACAACTTATGTACGATTAATGATCAGCCCAAGAAAAAAAAAATTAATGATCAGCCCAATTATCAAGTATGAACTATAGTCTACTCATGGAAGCCACTTTTCCTTCCGGGCTTATTCAAATAATTAGGGCCTTTCTACCCAGCCAGAAAATTTATTTCTGAATTACGAATAGCAAAGAATTTGTGATGAATATCTATATATTTGTGTAGTGAAAAGTTGATAAATCATCATTAAGCTAAAAAGAAAGCACAAAATAACTTAACTTAATTAGACCTGAATGCAATTATCACAGCACCACTTGCAAATTGTGAATATGAAGATGTCGAAGACCCGGCCGTAAATTCCTAGAGGTCAGCACCGGCAAAGAGAAGCACATCAATGGTTGCTCCGAAGCTGCAAAAGAGACTCGCCACCCTGAAACCCAATCTTAGTCTGTTGTTCCTGAAGGCCTTGGCTCCAAAGTAAAATGCCGTGTACAAGAAGATGGTTGGAATGAATCGGGCAGGGACATAAGCGAAGAGCTGCTCAATGAGGTCGTGCATGGAGAAGCTGGTAAGATACACGGTGATCTTAGACTCATTATATAATTATAAGATTCATTATATGATTATTATCGTAAATTACTCATAGAAAGCTTATGTGTAATGAGTTCATTATGTTTCTTTTTTTTAGGTTTGGACTTATAACATAATATAATTTTTTTAGATAATTTTAAATTAATTATTTTTTTTTAATATGTTTCTACTTTAAATCTAACGGAGTTGGTTTCATATTATATAATCAATAACACTTCTTATTTTTCTTTTTTTTTAGAAATACTATATGATTAATGAACAAATAGCGCACGTTAAAAAAAATCAACGTTGCTTGCAGATCTATGATTATCTCTATAGATAATATCAGAGCATAGATAATATGTATATGTGTGTATCCCTAACAAGAAAAGACCAACATAATGTGATATTCAGCATATATACATATAGTTACGTTTATACGTAAGCAAAATAAAATCATCACTCAACAAAATCATATCTCTTTCTCTCTTTTTGTCCCATTCGCAGTTTTGTTTTTGGCCGAAATTCTATTCGCAGGTCTTAAATGAAAAGGAACAGATTTTTTTTAAAAAAAATCGTTTCTCTTTTTTTCTGTTTTCTTACTAATTCTTACACCTCTATGCTGCATCTGTCTACAGTATGACTTATGTCTGATAAAAGATTGGCCAAGAGTCATCACCATATTAAGATTATAACTATCTGATTAATAACATTTGAAATCGGTCTTGTATTAAATAATTTTTGAACCAAATTAAAACGAAGAAAAAGATACAGCTTATCGTAACAATGACTCAATGAGTTACATAACACATTTTACACTACAATTGATCTGGACCGTTTTTACATTACACATCAAATAGTTGCATAATCTAATTAATAACTCTTTCCGTTGACTCCACAGCAGACAGTTTTCTTTCATGTGATAGGCTAGACACCGTCGGATCAAAACCCCATCACCTCTTAGATCACATGCCACGTGGCTTCACCCGTGAATGTTTTTACGGCCGTCAAAAATTAATCAATTGGTAAAAAGCCCTTCACAGCTTTAACCGAGCTGTATTTTAGCTTTTATTCCACGTCAGAGCAAAACGCGGTTGTCTTCCTCCACCGTCGGATTGCTAATAAAATCAGCTGTCAGAGATCAACGGTGAGTAACGAAACAGATCGTAAGGAGCCCAAAGCGAATCCAACGGACACGGCCTTCTCGAGTCAAGCCTTAGCCATGGCTTCCCTTTCCCACTCCAATGCAAAAGACTCACCGGACCTGGATGCAGATTCCGGCAAAGCCCCTCGAGGTTATCTCCGCCGAGACCATGCTGATTCCACCTATGCTCCACCGGCTCAACATCACCGGCGAAAACCAGCAGAAACGGCGGCAAAGATCCCAGCTCGTAGATACGGTGTCGTTTCTGAATCCTCATCCACGTCTCTAGCTTCACCGTGAATCTCCCTTCTCTCCATCTCCCGAGATCGATCACCATCACTCCGGTGTTGAAGTAGCAAGCCTTCCTCCCTCTCAACGCCGATTTGTAACCCTGGCTCGACGACCAGAACCTCGCCGTGAAGTAGTTCGTGAAATTGGCGTGGCAATACTCCGGAGCTCCGACGACGTGACGGCCTAGATCGATTCCCCAGAGCTTCGCGACGTCGTCGACGACGACGAGATCGGAATCGAAGTAGATAACGCGGCGGACGGCGGTTGGGAGGAGATCGGCGAGGTAGATTCGCGCGTAGTTTAAAGGCTGGTCTAAGGCACGGCGAATGGAGGAAGAGATTTTGCTGCGGACGAGGTTAGGGTCAAAATGGTAAATCTGGAAAGTGAGGTATGGGAAAATTGAGGAGATTATGCGGCGGAGATCGGCGCTGCGTCGGTGAGTGGCGATGAAGTGGAAAACGACGTTTTCAGGGCAAGAGGCGTGTTGGAGAACGGAGAATACTCCGGCGACTGAGCCACGGAGGTAAATGGCGTCGAGAGTCATCGCGATGTGGATGATTGAAGGGTTGTGTGTGCGATTTTCCGGTGACCATACCGTTTTGATGCATTCTCGGCCGTTTCGAAACGCAGGAGCTTCTCGAAACGCGGGGAGGTCTGTGACGGTGGTGCTAATCGCGATTGGTAATAGTAGAAACAGACATAAACGCAAACGCAGTGACGACATTTTTAGGTGTGTGTTTTGTGTAGTCTGTGAGTGAGTGTGTGAGTGAAGACAAGATAGTGTTGAGAGAAAGACAAGCGGCATTTTGTGTCTGTGTTAATGGCGGATTAAGGGTAGTTTCGACATTTTAAGAAAACCTTCGTTAATGATAATTAAGTGTGATAAAATGTTTATGTTTTTGTTATAAGGTTAGTGAATTTTGGGGATAATTTCAATAATTATGAAGCAGATATTCTCTGGAGAGCCAGCCTGGCGAGGAAGAGACGCGTACGAAATTTGGGTAATGCGACTCGCGAAGGGTCGGATAGTATGTGTCGAAGACTAGAATATCGTTATTCACGTGTTTGAATAATTTGACTCTGTTGACTATATTTCTTATAATCGGACGGCCATTAAGCGTAAGCGCAAATAAACGAGAAAGGTTAAGAAATTGTTAACAAGGGTGACTGATGCGCACGTGTAAGCACGCACCAATGATAGTCATGGAGGTTTCATCAACGCTTTATTCGAGTTTACAACAAGCGTCGGTGACTAACAAAAACGAAAATCACCCGAGGATGAAAAAGGAAAAAAAAGGAAGAAACAAGAACCAAAATCTTGATTATTGCTGAGATTTCTCTTAAAGAAAGACTTTGTTTCTTTGTAAATGCATGTCTCAACTACTTATTTGCCATAAAATGATGGCAAATCCAATTTGGATAATGCAAAATTGTTACGCCATTTGTATAAGCTGTCCATGTCGGCAAAGAGTTGGGTACTGGGTAGGTAATACCAGAACATCATACGGGTTGGATAGAGATAATTTTTTTTTTTTTAGCAAGGATAGAGAGAATTCTTGTATATATAAATTATATATGAAGTGGGCTATTAAAACGAATGGACAATAATTTTCTTTAAAAAAACAAAGTAATAGACGGATCATTCGCATTTCGAGTAGGGTACCAAATAACATGTTTTGGATATACAACGAAGTCTTTTCAAAACCAGAAAATTTAGATCTATTGAATATTTAAGAATTTAGAGTCGGCTAAACATTTTTATAATTATTCCTCGTTACATAATATTTTTTTCTTCTCAGAAATAGTAAACATTTTTAGATACTGTTTTTGTTCTTTTGAATAAAACACAAGAATACATTGGTCCAGGATGAATATGATGCAAAAATAAAGATGAAAGTTGCAACTCAAATGTTTGATTTTTTTGCTTTGTAAAACGAATATTATTCTACACGGATTCTTTTTTTTTCACTCTTCCCAATTTTTTTCATATGTACTTACAAAATTTTTCAAATTGTAATGTTACTCCATGTTTCTTTACATTACTACTGTATTTAAGGCGCAGTTCTGTTTTGTTTTGTTTTTTTAACATTAGTTCTGTTTTGTTCCCCCTAACATGCAATGTGTATCAATCAATAAATATTGCTATAGTCTTGTTTTTTCTTAATTGCTAGCTTCTAATCGAAACTTAAACATAGACTATTATAAGGTGGAAGTGCTGCTCGGTTGGAGATGGAGTATAGTTGTTATAGTAATTACGTTCTGAATCTGAAGTTTACGAAACTCACATGTATCTTCAAAATTTCAAATCACGAGTTGTCAATGGTTATATGACTTGTGCGCTTTTACGGCTGTTTTTATATTAAACGCAACTCATTAGACTAAACAATTACATGCAAATCAATATATCGGTAGAATGGTCCGTCCTCCTTTTTCTATCTACATAAGTGAAATCGAAGTTCTATGAAAACTTATGTACCCATCGAGACCCATACTGCCACTATTGTATATAATTAAAATTCATATGCTCGCAAGCAATTGTTGTAGCAAAGTCAGATCCCGCCGGGCCACCGACACAAGAACACAAAATATCCTTTTAAATATTTTCATATAAAAGTAGGGACAGGCAAAAGTTAATGCCCCTATCAATTTTCTGTCTCATTAGCTTTACACCATATTCAAATTTTAATAATTTTGCCCTTTGGCTTAGTCTGCTTACTTAGACGAACTTAATAAAGGGTTCAAAAATGTTGAGTATTTAGAGGAATATAAGTAATTAAGAGAGAGAGAGAATAAATTAGAACAGACAATGACTTTTATAAAAATATATGAATAGAAAAGGCTTTTAATGTGAATGGTGATAATATTAATATGAATACAAATTCTATGTTTTATTAATATTAAATAGTATCAAAGTAGGATGACTGTTTATATCATAGGCTGGAAATTGAATGAGCTATAGTTTTGTTCAGAAAGATATTATTTAATGTTTTATTGTAAAAGCAATATTTGTACTTAGAAGTTAGAACACAAAGTTTGTAGCTGCACAAAAAGGGAGTTGTGTTGTAATGAACATCATTTTTCTGTTATATGTGTTATCTGGCCTAAAACTTAAACTAAGGCCCAAACTTGTTTTGTCTCTGAAGCCCAATTATATATATGCCCATTATTTTATTACGCTTGGATCCAACTCTCTCCGAATGAATGGGAACTAAGTTTCAAAGGAAGATGATGAAACCCATAAAATAAGAACAAAGATGTATGACAATTTACGTTACTGGAGGGAACAAACAACATTTATTACGCAAAAGAGAAACTATGAGAATGAGTTTCTATGTCTTTTTTTCATTGACTTTAAGAAAAAAAAGTGGTAGTATACCTCATTTAATTTTACGTAGTCTTTTCTATAAATTTTGACTTTCTGCTGTCGGGGACAGATCCGGAAGACAATTATATCGAGAATTCTTATCTCGTTTGAATTGGCTATTAGCATGAGGATAAATTTTGACGAAATTTTAAAATTAAAAATGGAGTGTACAAGTGGCATATGCATACCTGGAGAGTTAAGAGAATGAGAATTAAGAAGTTCCGGGTACGTACGAGTAGGTACAACTCATTCTTGCGTGTATTAGGGGTTTTCTTTATATGTATATGAACAAAATCTAGGGTGCGCTATAGTCGTTCATGTTTTATTTAATAGTTATTCCATCAAAAAATGATAAACTGATTCTAATCCACTAACTACTCCCTATGATGTCATAATCTCTAATCATATATAAGATTTCGAAAACCTCGATTTGTCATATAAATTTCTACAATACCTTGGTTCAAATATCTCTATTATATGTTACACTTGGTACTTGGTGTCTTAACTGATTTTCTTCTTCCTTTTTTTTGGCATCGTGTCCTTAACTGATCTAATCTCTAACAACATGTAAATTTTGTATGTGCATGGGGGTTTTTAAATAACGAATGAATTACTACATGCGAAGTATATTGGTTAAGATGTCTAACGATTTTTATTAGAGAAATGATTAATTTGATCTATTAATCGATCGTAATATTTAATATGTTTGTCTCTTAGAGAAAACTTGAAGTTTACTAAATTCAAATCTGAAATTGATTACATAATACATTCTAGACATCAAATTGTTTCTTTATTCTTAAGAATAACTTATCCATAAGTTCCCTTTACAGACGTTAAAAGCAAATAAACCTAAGAGAATTTTCCATTTACACGTATTTCTAGGTAACCTACAGGCTACACATGCATACAAACATTATATATACACTTGGATACGAATGAACTATCACTGATAATTGATGGAAGCAGCAAAAAAGTCAAAAAAAATTATATGCGAAGCTGGCAGATAGACTTTGATGGATTATAAGGAGAAGACTTTTATAGAGATTGGTGTTATGTGAGAATTATAAAGAAGAGCAAGTGGGTACTTTATTTTAAGACCAGTGACCCATCTCTTGTTTTGTTGCTACGTTGTGGTAACAAACAAATAAAAATCACATATAAAACATAGCCTTTAGATTATCTAGGTCGATTATCAACGTCCAAAGTCCGTGTCGTAATCCGACTGATAGTTGGTAGCAACTGATTGGATATTAAACGTACAGTTATAATTAGAGTTGCAAATCTATGATGTTCTTGAATAATCAATTAATTTGATCGATCAAAGTCTAATGAGTGACCTTAATTACACGTACTTTTTATATGTAATATGCATCAATATTAATGTATACCTTAATTTCAGAGAAACAAAAAACTGTAATTTTAATTATAACGTGCAGATTATGATTCCTAAACTCTTACAAGTGGCTGAAATTATATATATTCTATGTTTTACAATATCGAACCTTCATCTAGTTATCGACTCTTCGTGGTTTTGGATTAATTGACCGACTGTTGGTTTACTTTTATTTTCTTAATAATCTTAAAGCTTTGTTCTCGTATATATATCGTTATTTTAATGGACATATAAATACAAAATACCATGACTTCGCTTTTGACGTCAACGACCTCTTCTAAGTTTGACTATTCGGGGAATATAAAATTATATAGGTCGAGGCAAAAATAAAAAATAACAACAAGTTTTAACAAACAAAAAAAATCATGAAAAGAGTTATTAATCTAATTTGCTCACGACCACTTACACTTACAGTGAATTACTTGCTTTTTGTATTGATTAGTTTAATATCTTTTCACTTACGAACTATACTCGTAAACCCAGATGTATTGAAGAACAAGTACGAATACGATAAATGGTTATTCGGAAATCCGCAGTTAATAAACATGTATATATATACATTATTACATTTACATTTATAGATATACTGGTCGGGAGTCAATAACCTATATTATAAAGCTTAATTGTCATTTTAACAGCGATTTGTTATGTTGGACTCCGTCAAAGTCATCGGCGGAATGTGTATTATATGATGTCTTAAAATTGTCGGTCCCTTAATATATACTTATATAGGATATGTGGCAAAATATATACATATATAAAATATATATAGTGAATAAAAATCAACATTTGTGTTAATTATTGGCTTTTCTGTTGAAACAAACAAAAACCAACTTCATTTGACGGTAAAATAAAGTAAACTTTATTGTAATTCCAATTATCAGTAATTAAATAAATATTGCGAGTCGCCGAGCCATTGACGACTTGTTTTATTCTTATTATAGTCAACTTATTTTTATTTTATCCTTTTGACTTTTTTTTAAAAAATGGTTTTCATGTTATCTCAACAGTACATGTTCATTTTTTTTGTTAAATGAAAATGTTAATTTCTCTATATTTAAATGAAAATGTTCATTTCTCTAAATACGTAAAAGTTACACGATTCGGCTCGCCCGATTTACTGGACTTTGAGTACGTAATCCCGCAATCCACAAAAACATACCATAACAGCATCTCCAACCCTGCTCTATTTTTTGCTGCAAACTCTATTTTGGAGTAAATTTCACTTCAACCCTACTCCATTTTTTACTGTAAAATGGAGAAAAAATAGAGATTGCTCCATATTTAAAGTAAACCTTTATTCTACTCTATTTTGCAGCTATACTTTTTTTATTTACAATC